GGGCAAGTGGTAAAAATCCTTAACGTCAACCCCTGTAAGGACTGCTGGTATTTAACTGGAGCAGAGAAGTGATTCGGTTGAAAAATATATGATGTAGGATATCAGCAAATTTCAGTTATTGGCCCAGATATAAACATCAGTGCATCTCTACCTTCTTTAACTCCATAAGTATGGAGTAAAAAAGGATGGATGGCTAAAAAACTGCAGTTCTACTGTAAGGTGCCTCGGTCAAGGTCAATGACTGGCGTAGCTGACACGTCACAACCAGACCATGCATATTGCTTTAAGTTAATAGACTTTGTTAATTAGGCTATGCATGCTTCCAAAAAATTAAATTACAAATTCCACCATCCCCCTTCTTTATACTGCTGCTAAGCATGGCTGTGGCAGTATCATGCTGTGGAGGCTTTTCCTCCATAGGGGGTTGGAAAGCAGTCCAGACGTGAAGCTTCAGACCGGACTGAGCTGTTTTGCCCAATTTAGAGACACAAGCTTTTTATTATTAAAAATGGACCAATATAGATTTTTTTTTTAAGGTCAACTGATTATTTATATTTATATGTGCTCTTCATTCTTTTGGGGGGCGGATTTTTTGAAGAACTCAAGACTTTCTCTTAATCCACTGGCATGATAAAAATGTTAAAAAGTCTCAACTTAAACATAACATTTATTGCCATGAATACAAAATTACAGGAACTGCTGATACGATCAGAAGGGGGGAAAAAAGCTGATATCGCCTAAAAATATCAGCCAGCTGATATTTTGGTCCACCTCCAATTCATTCACAATTTTTTTTTTGCAAAAAAGGTTTAATTTTTCTTCGGATTTGTTGAAATAATGGAAGTTTCCTTTGTCAAATTTAAGGCCTGCGGGCCAAAAACCGCATTTTATCTGGCCTACAAGAGAAAAAGGCCTCATGTTATGAAGTAGAGGCACAGACTATTTGTACAAAGCGCCTAAAACTTTTAAAATAAATGGAGGTAAAGTTGTAATAAGACACTCTTTGTAAAAGAGATGATGAAATCTAAAGTTTCATTTGTACAGCTGCAGCCGTTAGTTTGACATTCCTGATCTGAGCGCTTAAATCAGTCCCTCCTTTCATCGAAAATTCAGACTTTGCCTGAAATTCTGCAGAAAGCAAAACTTTCAGAAAGCATTTATCCGATCAGAAAAAAGCCGAAGCAAGACGCTACTGCAGAAAAAAAAAAAAGAAGAAGAAACGCAGCAATTACAAGTGAAGAATGTTGATGTAATTAGTCTCAATTAAGTGTAACATAGTGCTGTTTAACTAGTTGACAGAGCTGCAAGAGCAGCAGACAAGGCATAAATTGGCGCTGACAAGAACATTAAACTCAGAATAAATCACCCTGAGTGAACATTTGCCGTTTCCAAATGTGACGCGTCTGCCAAATGGTATTATTTACATCAACAGTTACCCTCAAAGGCTGCTGAGCTTTTCAGATGACGAGAGTGAGCAATCAGACGCCAAACAAGAGCAGCAGAATATTTGGAAGGAAAAAAAAAATCAGAAAGTGAGAAAAATCCTCTAAATAAATAAATTAATTCAGGTCTTAAATTCAAGCTGCCAGGAAACCTGATGGCGGTCTGTCGCCAGCGTCACTCCAGTCAACAAACAAATCAGGGTGTTTAAACACAATGATGAAGAAACACACTTTCTTCATTGTCTTGTCTCATATTAAGTTTGGGAAACATTTCAAGCAGATGCGGGGTTAAAGCAAAAGTTCGTTCACATTCAGAATACAAACTTCTGAAAGTATT